AGAGAGGGAGAGACAGAATCCCAGGCAGGTTCTGCACTGTCAGCACAGAGCCCAACGCGGGGCTCAGACTCATGAACCATGAGATCATGACCTGGGCCAAGACCGAGAGTTGGACACTTAACCGACTGAGCCACCCAGGTGCCCCAGCAGCACCTTTCTTTGGGATTTTCCCCCAAGTTAGGTCATCAGAATTGCCTACTAAACTATCCAAGTCCAATCCTTTGGTGCTTTGGCCCATGAGGCTGGGAAGGGAGTGGGATCTGTGCCCTGACTATAGCCACTGAATAAATGGAGAGGTCTTGCAAGCCAAGTCCCTGCTTTCTTCCTGGCCTGGGCCCTGTGGTCTGGCTTTGGGCTGCTTAGCATCCTGCTGAGGAAGCTCTTCTCTGATGCTGGTCTCCCTGAACAGAATATCCCTTGGAGCATTGTTAATACTTCAGAAGCTTCCTGTCAGTCAGTCTTAGACCTAAAGCACCAGGCTTCCCTTCTCAGACCCCATAGTCTTCTGTGACAGGTAGAAATAGATCTGACTGATGGGTGTGGCTCCCAGACTAAGAGGGCTTTTCCATAGGGTCCACATAATCCAAAAGGCAAGTACATTCTAGATTCCCTGTTGTAGGTAATACACTTGATTTATATCCTGGAGTCCCGCCCTCTCTCCCTCCCAATTTTCGATGGCAGGAAGGAGAGTCACTATATTCTTAGGAGCTGCTCCTTAGGTGTCTGATCCCTGTCCTTCCTGGTCGGCCAGGAGGTATGGGCTTAATTTCATTGAACCTTGGGCCCTGTGGTATTTGGGCAAGTGCAAGTAGAAACTCCTCTAAGGACTTGGTGGTTTGCAGCTTCCTTCTCCTGTCTGAGCACCAGGCTTAATGGGAGATCTTGGCCTTCTCTTGAAGACTAGCTAAACTTTTGAAGAGGAAGAGTTGTCACTGTAAGCTAGACTGTTCGAAAGAGTCTCTGTTCCCATGACTGAGACCCTGATAAAGATTTCTTTGCCATAGAGCTGATGTGTCTCTGACATTTGATTCTACAAAAGAGACAGTCTTTTGGGTTCTTTGGGTGGTAGCTTTTATTCTAGTAGTTAGCAGGGCATTTTTACCAGCCTCTTGCCTTTTTATCTTCTCTCCCCAGGTGCCTGATACGGAGGACCTCTGATATCCTTTCTAAATATCTGCCTGTGAAAATTGAGCAGGTGGTTTGTTGTAGGTACTGAACTCAACTAAGGGGTGTAGAGTGTGTAAAAACTCAGCCCTTGAGGCATGGCTGGGCTCTCACAGTATTCTCAGGGCAGAGGTGTCGTCCAGCCTTTCCCACTAACCCAGCTACCCTTTTTTCAGGCTGACATCCCTTCAGACTGAGTTATACAAGAAGTTTCTGAGACAGGCCAAGCCAGCAGAAGAGTTGCGTGAGGGCAAGATGAGTGTGTCTTCCCTTTCTTCCATCACCTTGCTAAAGAAGCTTTGTAATCGTGAGTTGGGTCCATGTCCTGGGGTCCCCTGAGAGAGTAAGCAAGGAAGGCTAGGCTCCTGTAAGGTCCAGCCACCTTGACCAAAACTTGTCTAGAGTCCTCATAAAGGCCACCTGTGATTCCAGCCCTCCCCAAGGCATGAACCCTACATTTTGTACTCCATACCAGACCCTTTGCTTTGGAAAAGTTTGCTTACCCTTTGCCCAGCCCATGCTTGATGCTTGGGAGTATATGGGACTTGTGAGTACATGGGAGTATGCACGCACACCTGTGCATATAAAATGTTGGACAGGAGGAAAAATAACAAATCTTGCCCTCTGTGGTATAGTTCCCTTCTTGCTGGGAGAACACACTAATAAGCAAGGTGGTCCTAGATGGAACTGACTGCAAACTAGGAATTGGGACCTGGTAAGTCTGGCGCTGAGGAAGGTCTGCTGGGTAGGCTTCTAGAGGAGATTCCAATGAGCATCGAAGTGGAAACTGGAAAGCACTGTAGCTGGCATTTTGGGTTTTGTTTTTGTTGTTGTTTTCAGATCCAGCTCTAATCTATGACAAGTGTGTGGAAGAGGAGGGTGGCTTTGAAGGTGCCTTGGAAATATTCCCCCCTGGTTATAGCTCCAAGGCTCTAGAGCCCCAGCTATCAGGTAAGCCAGTCTTTGGGCTCCTCTGGGAGGAAAAGTGGGAAATTGTCTCTTTGTGCTAGATGTATCCTTCCCTCAAGGCATGATATCAAAAGTAAGAATCCTGGGCCATGGGGATGGCCTGTTGGGAGCTAATGGTTGATGATTTCCCCAGGTAAGATGCTGGTCCTTGATTACATTCTGGCAGTGACCCGAAGCCGCAGCAGTGACAAAGTAGTGCTGGTGTCCAATTACACTCAGACATTGGACCTCTTTGAGAAGCTCTGCCGGGCTCGAAGGTAGGGAAGAGTCAAATCAGTTTGCCAAAGGAGTGCCTCCCCTACCGTCCCCCTAGGAAGAGTAGATGGTAGGTGTTCTGATTGGTGGATATGGGCAAGAAATGGGTGCAAGGGGGACTTCCCAGAAAATATCTGTTCTCTTACTGTGATGATCCTGACTCCATCTCCAAGCAGAATAGCCCCTGGCCCTTCAGGTACTTCCAGAGGACAGAGTCCTAGCCCTTATTCCCCTGCCTCTCCCTTTGGGAGTTTAGGCCCTCAGGCTGTACATGAGTAGCCTCAAGCCTGGTTAGTTCAAGTCCTTCAGTAGCAAGCCTCTGCTTCCTTCTTGGGTTTTGATGTTTGAATTCCCCTTCAGGTACTTGTATGTCCGCTTGGATGGCACAATGTCCATTAAGAAGCGAGCCAAGATTGTAGAGCGCTTCAACAATCCATTGGTAAATGTACAGCCCCTGTTTCCATACTACCAATGCAGTAACATCTGAATCAGTGGTTGATAGAGAAACTAGATGGGTGCTCTGCTTTAGGGTCTCTCTCTCTCTCTCTCTCTCTTTCCCCCCGCCCTTGGTGGGTGTGGTGGAATTAGCCTGGTTGGTGATGGTGGGGCTGGGAAATTGGTAGGCAAATTGGTGGTCCTCACAGCATAAGAGTACAGATGTATGAGAGAGAGAACTTTTGGCTGGACTGAATAGGATTCCAGTTCAGGCTGCAAGAGGTTCTTTTCTCCTGCTTCCTTTCTTTCCAGAGCCCTGACTTTGTCTTCATGCTGAGCAGCAAAGCTGGGGGTTGTGGCCTCAATCTCATTGGAGCAAACCGACTGGTCATGTTTGACCCTGACTGGAACCCGGCTAATGATGAACAAGCCATGGCCCGGGTCTGGCGTGATGGTCAAAAGAAGACCTGCTACATCTATCGCCTGCTGTCTGTAAGGATGGTGACAGTGGTCAGAGTAGGGGTGGGTCGTGAAAAAGACCTTTAGAACCATCTTGGGTTTTTTCTCAGTACCTGTTTTGCCTCTGCCTCTAGCAGTGGCCAATCTATGGGCTTAGCCAGACCCCTGTATTTTTCTGTTCTTTCTCCCTCTCTCCACCCCATTCCTTCAAAACCTATGCCTCCTGATACCTGTTCAGTGGTTGACAAACTCCCCTGTGGCCTCATCTCTTCACAGGACACCTGCTTTCCCTCATACCTTGATTTCTACTGTGCACTTGCCTTGTAATCTTCTCATACTCCATGTGTCCCCTGGGACTAAGAAGTAGTATTGGCATTCTCCCAAGTTCTCAGTGATCAATCATACAGACTGTAGTTCTCTTTTAAAGCTCATGTTCTCTGACTTGACTACTCTCTTTTCTTCCTTGTCACTGTCATCTACCCTATGCTAGTTTCCTAATTCATTGATGACTTTGGATACCAGCCTAGTCTAGTCCTTCATTTCTTCCCCAAATTCAGTTATCATCTTGACTTCAAGGACTATGCAGTTATCTAGCACTCTGGCTTCCATGTTTCCTTGACCTCATCTCTAATGACCAGTTCAACTCCTTCCCATTTAGTTACTCCCAAGGCCACACTCTGGAACTTTAGTAATGCCAAAACTATACACAGTACCCAAAACTATCATTCTATTCTCAACTTCCTGTCCTTCCAGTTTTCTCATATCTCCTATATCTGCTTTAGCCTAAATGTCCCTAGTACCTCACCTTTCCCCCAGTCTGGCTTCACTTCTCTTTGTTTGGCCTGATTCCTACTGTGCATCCTTTCAGTCACTCTTTCTGTAATACTCCAGTTGGATCACTACAACTGTTCTCAAGTTCTGCACCAGATAAAATTTGCGGGTGTAGATTAGCACTACCACAAATTCACATATTCCATTTTGGGCTGGGCTGTATCTCGTTTCTTTCAACAGCCACTTCAAGCCTTCACCACTTCCCTCAAGTTTCTTACCTAACCCTGTCTCTCATTCTTTTTGCAGAGACCTTGTCTTCTGCTTCACAGAAAAAAATGTAGGCTACCAGGCTTGAGTTCTCTTACCTGTCTTTTGTGTATCTCTAGACCTGCCCTTCCCTTCCCATCTCAGAGGAAGATAATTTCCTTCTTTGAGCTTCATCATTCCAGCTCTGCCCTGGATTGTTTTCCTTCTTTCTTAGTTGATTAAGGTCTCTCTTATTTACCTAAGTCTATAAACATGCTGAGGTAGCTCTCACCATTTAACTCTCTGTCGTATTGTAGCCACTACCTTGGGTTACTTTCCATGCGTTCACCATCACATTTTTCCAAAGCCTACAGATTAACTTCACTTCCTCATCTTCTATTCACTCATCAGACCGCTTTTGAACTTGCTTTTGAATGTAATATTGGCTTCCTAATTGTCAGAACAAGAAACTCTTGATTTTTCCTCTGTGTATCTGACACTGTTGACTGCTAGTCTTTAAAATTCTATTCTCTTTGGAAATTCCACTCTGGTTTTCCTATCTCTGTGATTACTCATTATATTGACAAGTCTCTAAATGTTTAGCCAAGATCTCTTACCTGAGTTTTAGACCCATATTTCCATCACCTATTGTACATTTCCACTTGTATGTCTCATGAACACTTTAGATGCAAGGTGACTAAATTCATTTCCTTTCTGAATTTTGTCATTTAATGGCTCCATTATCCAACCAACCCAAATCTGGGTATCATCCTACTGGACCATTCCCTGTCTCCTAACAACAAATCACTATTTGTCTTCTGGCAATTTCCTTATCTAACCTTCCTCTTTACCCTGTGCTAAAGTCACAGTTCTCTTTCACTTGGATAGTGCAGCAGCTTCCTAATGCTTTACCTTTGGTCTTAACCTGTTCTTCACATATTGCTTCCAGAATGAACTTTCCAAAAATCCTGATTTTGCTTTTCATCACTTGCAGGACAAGGCAAAGCTCTTTCAGCCTGGCATCCATATTTCTCCGGTATGGCCTCTGCTGACTTACTCAGTCCCAGCTCTTACTACACTCCCACCATCCTCAAGACAGGCTCAACTCCTCAGTCCTCCAGTAGGCCAGGCTTATGCCTTTGTCCTGTGTGGGGCCTATGAGCTTTCCTTCTCTCTTCCCTTGTAAACCATCTATTCATTTTTTATGATTCAACTCAAGGATCATCTTTACTTCAAGGTTTTCATCATTTTCCCCCTCTACTACCCCTCTTGTGGGCCCTTGGGAATCCTATGCAGGTTTCTGTTATTGTGCCAATTAGTTTATGTGTCTCTCCCAGAAGCCTAGGAGTTCAGGAATAAGGATCATATTTAATTCTTCTTTGTATCCTAGTGTTGGCACAGAGCCAGGCATAGGATACCCAAATGATATTTGTTGAGTATGAGAGGCCTGGGCTTGGTGTGGAGGTCTGGTGAATCTGCTGCAAACCTCAGCTCACTCTGAAGGAATTTAGCCAAGACATGAAACCCTCCATTCGTACAGAAAATATCCTGGGTGAGCAGTGGCTACAAGTCATGTTCCCAAGAGACAGATTGGGAAAATGGGCTCAGCTGAGCAGATGTGTTGCTATAGGACTTTTACTTCTCATTCATTTCCCCTTCTCTTGGGTGGCTATAGTTTCAACCCCTGGGTTTTCCTGCCCCCTATGTTTGGGAATGACTTAGCTGTACATCCTTGGGCGCCCCCACCCCAGGCAGGAACCATTGAGGAGAAGATCTTTCAGCGCCAGAGCCACAAGAAGGCACTGAGCAGCTGTGTGGTGGATGAGGAACAGGATGTGGAGCGGCACTTCTCTCTCGGCGAGTTGAAGGAGCTGTTTACCCTGGATGAGGCTAGCCTCAGTGACACACATGACAGGTGGGTGGGGTGCCCTTGCTGGCCATTACTTCTGAACTCCCTGCACAGCATGGAGACGGGCTCTATAGTTACCACGGCTCTGTCCTCTGCCCCCAGGTTGCGCTGCTGCCGCTGTGTCAACAATCACCAGGTCCGGCCACCCCCTGATGGTTCTGACTGCACCTCAGACCTGGCTCAGTGGAACCATAACACTGATAAACGGGGGCTTAAGGATGAGGTACTCCAGGCCGCCTGGGATGCTGCCTCTACAGCCATCACATTCGTCTTCCACCAGCAGTCTCATGAGGAGCAGCGGGGTCTCCACTGATAACCAGCTGGTCTGGGTGTAGCTGTTAGAGGAAGGAGACAGGGAAAGGGGGCTCCTTGCCCCATAGGACCCTACTGAATTTTGTTCTCTGGGACAAAAATCATCAAGGAGGGCTGCATGATGTTTGCCCAAAGTTTATTTTATAAGAAAAACTTTTTTGGTTAAAAAAAAGAAAGGAATAAAGGTATGAAAGGGACTGAGGCTTGGGAGCAGCATGGTGAGCCCAGCAGAGAAGAGGCCTGGTAGTGGACACTCCTGTACTTCTCTAAAGCCTGGGTACCTGCTTGAGGAAGGAAAGCAGGAACCTCAGGCAGGGGGAGAGGAGCTGTCCTCAGTGACTGATGAGCACTGTAACCTGGCCCAGGGTTCCGAGAGTAGTGGGTAAGGGGCCCAAAGGCTCTAAACCCAGTTGTGAGAGTGCCTTTGCTGAGCCCAGCAAGACCTCCAGGACCTCAGTGCAAGGGAAGAAGGAAAAAGAAAAAAAGGTTGCAGAAAGAGAAAGACAGAATTGGTGTTTGGGAGTTCTGGGCAGCCCATGTCTCAGCCCCTGCAAGCTGATGGTGCTGAGCATGGGCCTGTGAAGCATGGGCCCCATCACATGGTGCTGACATAATCTGCGAAGGCCTGGGATGAGTCCCACGAGTCGCTAACCACGTGACAAGTGGCCCGGAGCCGCCGAATGGCTTCCCTGGCTGTGACTGCATCCTGGTCCAGCCAGTTCTGGAAGAGGCGCAGGTGACCAAAGGCTCCACGGCCCCAGCGCTCCAGCCGCTTGGCGAACTCCAGAAGACCATCTGGCTTGATGCAGTTGGAACTGGTAGGGGTGAAATGGATTAGACACCCAGGAAACAATCCCTAGTCTATATCCTTACAGCTCCATCCCTTGTCCCCTCCTCCTCCCCATATACCTGATGTCCAGCTGACACAGAGAGGAGGATGAATCCTCTGAGAAAACATCTGCCAGGGCCAGCAGGCCAGCATTCCCTGGGGAGAAGGGGAGAAATGTCTAATCACCCAAGAACAGGGAACAATGGTATCCCAACCCATTTCTGGTGGGGAGAAGCCCAGCCTCCAAAAGCCCCAGCACACAACTATATTCCAACCCCTATGTTCCCAGTGGAGAGGCCTATGCCTTCCTCCACTGAATTTTGAGGTCAAAGAACTGGCTCCTTCACCCCTGTCCCTTCCCAGGGCCCTGCCCCCACCCAGGCGGTTCCCTGGCAGCCGGAGGCCCTTCAGTGTGGAGTTGCCCTTCATAGCAGCAACCATCTCAGGCAGAAACTGGGCCGGGCGCTTCTCAAACAGACGGCAGAAGGAGAAGGTAATCTCTGTCAAGAGAAATTAGAATAAATTCTGATGGCTAACATTAGGACTTGTTGCTGCCCCTCCTGCCCCAGTTGGCCTTAGCAAGGGGTCTGAACATTTTATAGAGGCCCAGAAAGAGAAAGGAATTTGTCCAAGACCCCAAGCAAGACTGGAACTAAATCAGATTTAAACCAGAGACTGAACCCAGAGGTTCACCCTAGAGAGGTCCTCTGTGTGGACAGTTCTCCATTCACTTCTTTTCCCTCTTCATTGCTTGCCCTCTATGCAGGGGTGGGGATTAGGGACAAGAGTATGAGGGGAACCTGACAGCATATTTATCCTTCCCCACCACCATTATTTCTGTTGGCCACTGAAAGGTAAGAAAAACTTGAGTAATTTTCCCATGTTAAGTATAGGAGGAGTTGAATTTGGGACCTTTTAGAAGGATGATGCAGTTTCTATAACTTATAGTGGAGGATATAAGGCCAAGAAAAGAACAGTGGCAGAGCCACAATGAGGACCCAGCAATGCCCCAGGTTCTGAATGATGAATTTACCTTGAAGAGTCAGATTCTGTAGCAAAAAGAGCACCTCACTCTGACAGTCAGCCAGATTCATGTCGTGGAAGCTCAGCCTCTTCAGGGCTAGGTTGTACTCTGCATGGGGGTAGAGGCCACGGGCCTTAGCTTTCCCAAAGAATAACAGGGTCTCCTACCCTCCCTTTATCATTCTAGCTGGGTCCTACCTTTGAGTGTCTGTAACACAAGCCCAAAATCTTGGGGAGAGGCAAAGGTAGCACTATCCAGAGACAGCTGCTGCAGAGAACCTGAGGCCTTCAGTACAGAGCAGAGCAGTGGGGCTGGTTGGGCTCCCCGTGGAAATCCCATCTCCAGCTGTTCCAGGCAGTTTTCTGGATATGATAGGGAGAAAAGATTCCAGTGGGCCATCTCTTCTATTCTCAGAGCAGGTCCCATCCTGTCCTTTAGAGGCTCACTGAAAAATCTTGTTTACTTGTCGTTGAGTGCCTGCTATAGCACTAGGTTCTGGGAAGAGAGTACTAGGAGATTTAGTCCTTGTTCTCCTGGAGCTTTTAGTCCAGGAAGACTAGACTATTCAGACAAGCAAACAGGAGTGTGCAAGAGTGGTGAGCTAGGAAACAGGATCCAAGGGGACATACAGAAGGGGGACCTAGACCCCTTTTCTGGAGACTCATCTGCCATGGTCACTTTCTATTGGGCTTGTAGTGGTCTGGGCCCTGTCCAGCCCATGGTCATCTTTAACAGCAGGCTCTAAAGAGGGAATGGATTTCAGATAAGCCAGGAATGAGTGTTGCTAGGTCTGGATTAGGTCTTCCCACCTTTTCCACACAAATGCACCTGCACATTTGTGTGAACACATGCACACGCACACGCACAATGCTTCACCTGGTATCTCCTCATCCCCAATTATGTGGCTAGGGGGCCCTGCATTCCCTGGCACGGCAGGGTTGTCCCTCTGGCTGGGGTGGTCAACACGAATAGAAAGGACCCGCAGCAGGGGCAGGGCTCGCACAATGGCACGTGTCAGCTCCAGGATGGGCAGTGGTGAGAACAGATCACTGAGATGCAGGGCACGGAGGCGGCATCCAGCCTGGCCTGACAGGGCCCGCAGACTGTCCAGCAGGCGGAAGATGTTAGAGCCCAGGCCTATGGCAGGAAAGAGGTTAGGTCAGTCATGTGGGAGTGTCAGCAAGAATAACATTCAGAGACCACTCCAGATATTTCTTTTGATGACCACCAATTTTCTTGAGCTTCCGATCAGATTACTTAAAATCATTTGTCTCAACTATTCATTGTCTTGCTTTTTTCCTCAGGTAACCAGCAAACTGACGTCTACTGTACTGGGCTATGCCCTCAAGCATCAGTCAGGGCAGTCACAAAATAAGAGGATGTGCTAGGGCATACTGTGCTGCCAGCTAAATGACAGGCCCAGAGGGCAGCAGAAATCTCTGGACTTTTCTTATAGGTCACGTGGAACATTTGAAATCTAAGGGGAGTGGCAATGACTCAATAGGGAATACTTTAAAAGATTAATTAGGTAGGAATAGAGCAGAAAAGGATAACCACATCCCACAAAAGGGAACAGGATGCAGAAGGGTTAGAGCAGATGCTTAATGCCACAAAGCAAATAATTTCTTGGAACCTACTTATCTCCCCTTGGACTGAGAAGGCCCCTGTTGATCCATTTCTTCAACTAAACCTCACCCAGCACCTAGTAAATACTTTTTTTGTGTGTTTTTGCTAGACAGTAGCCAGCAACAGCTCTTGCTCCTGCCTATGTAGGCTGATTAACAACAAAAATGTGTGAGGGGAACTGGAGAAGTTGAGTATTGTAGAAGCACAAAGGATGGGGGTACTTAGCACCCAGTCCAGCTTCCCTCAGTAAAAACTTTACAGCTGAGTTGTAAAGAACACAAAGGAGACAGGCTAAAAGGAGGGATGGGAGGGACTGGCAGGGAGAGCTCGGTATATATAAAAGCCTGAAGGAGGAAGAGTGGCAGCTTCCAAGAACTGAAAATATTCACTGTGGCTGCTGTGTAAAGTATGAGGTGGGGGGAGGGGGGGAGGGTTCAAGATGCCACTATGAAGGTAAGCAGGAGTGAGAACACAAATGACCTGTAAGTAAATTAAGTATGGTGACAGGAAACCATTCAAGGGTTTTTAAATGAATGACCTTTTCATTGAAAAAACAAAACTTGGGCTGCAGTGTAGACTGTGAATTGTATGGTGAGTATGAAGTCAGGAGGAACTACTGAAATGATGAATCCGGGTGAGAAGTAATCATGGCTCAAATTAAGGATGTGGAGATAGAGAAGTAAGTGGATTTGAGAGATCATAAAGATATGTGGTGCAAAAGAAAGAACCCAGCTTTCTTTTGGGCAGCTGAGTCAGCTGTGAGGTCACTGACAGAACAGAGCTATCGGGAGAAGATGCATTCAGGCTGCGGGGCTTGTGGTTTATGAAGTGATATCTAGTAGTCGGCTGACTAAATAGTTCTGGAGTTTAAGAGAAGGATCTGGGCCAGTGTCATAGATTGGGGAATCTTCAGCATAGTTGGCCTTTCAAACTACAAGAATGGACAGAATTGTTCAGGAAGCATGTATAAAGTGGCAGAGCTCTGAGAAACTCTGAACATTAAGAGATAAGAGAGGTAATGTCCAGAGAGGGAGAAGAGAAAAATAGATTTTGAGATAGTGGAAATGAGAATATCTGATGAAGACTACTTCATAGCAGCAAATGCTGCCGAAAATTAATGTGAGAGGAGGACTAAAACATATGTATTGGACTTAGCAACAGGGAGGACCTTGGAGAAGGAAGGCAGCATTAAGGAGTGGTGAAAACCTTGGATTCGGGAATCCGGTTGCCTGGATCTGAATCCTGGCTCAGTGAGGTTATCCTGGGCAAGCCACTTGACCTCATAGGGTTGGTGTAAGGATTCAATTCATATAGTGCTTAAATTATGCCAGATACATACTAAGCAATATATAAAAGTTCTTATTACTAAGGCATCTGAGAAACAAGCTTTCCTAAGAAGGCAAGAAGGTATGGATCCAGAAAAGAGTTAGCCTTAGATAGGATAGCCATCTCTTCCATTGTGATGAAGGAGAAAAGGATGAGTGTAGATGTAGGAGAGTTTAGAGGTTGGTTAACTAAGTTGAAGTTCATGTGTGATGGCTTCTATTTTCTCTGAAGTAGGAGGTGACGTCATCTGCTAAGAAAGGAAAAGGGAGGATTTGGAAGTAGTAGGAATGGGAGCTAATGTTACAAACACAGGATTCATATAAGGATGACGACTGAATATACAGTAGCACTGGTCTGCACAGTTGTGATTTTCCCCATCAGTACTCAGCATCCTAAGTAGATTGATGGATTTACCCAGAGTTGAAGTTTGGCTCGCTGGGCACAGCCAGGTGGGTAAGAACTGAGGACTGCTTTACAGATTGCTGGTCTGATAAAAATGTGGTCTACACCTTGTCTGTATAGCTGCTTTGATATGAGTGGTGGGACCCAACCTTAGACTTGGTGGGCCTGCATACACTATACTATTCCCACAATATGGGAATTGCCTACCATATCTAAAATGTACCCATTCTTAAGGTTCTCACTGTCTCTCAGGAACTCCTTCCAACTCTAAAGCCTATAAACCTCATGTTCTTCCCTAGCACTGAAAGTCTGCCACTGTTTCATGTATGTGCCTTCTGCCCCACTCTGACGCAGGCTGGGCCACATCTCCAGCTCCTCGATCGCATTCCCTATTCCCCTCTGCAGGATTGGGCACACGGCTGGTGCTGCTGTGAGACCCATCTCTGCCCCTGCAGGGCACTCACCATTATAGGAGAGTGTGAGGCTCTCCAGAGACACCCAGGAGCTCAGCAGGTGGCACAGTGTCAGAGCCGCCTCTGTGGAGAGCGGAACTGTGAATAGCTCCAAGGTGGAAATGCTTCGGAATCGCTGGGAGGCCTCCAGTGCTGGAAGCCCCAGGCAGCTGGGATCTGATCCATCCAAAGCTCCACAAGCCACTTCCCCGATCTCCATCTCTTCCCCATCCTCCTTCTCACCAGCCACAATGAAAACAAAGTCATACAGGTCTTCAGACTCCGCTCCAGACCCCTGACGGGTGCGAGCACCCTTCTTCCCTGCAGCTCGCTTAAAACGCTTTAGGGGCTTAGGCTGTGGGGCTGAGCTAGCTGGAGCCCGTTTGGATGAGGATGTGGAAGAGGAAGCAGAGGCAGAGGAGGTGGTGGCTGGAGCAGAGGGTGGCCGCTTGGTGCCAGGAGCCTCGTAGGAGGTTGCTGGAGGGTGCAGATCCCTCTTAGGGTCTGTCCCACCTGCTATCAGGCTCTCCTGTGTGCTCCGGCGTGTTACCCGGGTAGCAGGTGTAGCTCTGGCCGTCTGCTTGGCTTCACTCTTCCGCCGGGAGGCCATCAGGGCTGCAGCACATCGCTCAGCAGCATCCCTGCGAGGCCGGCGTGAGCCCAACAGGAGGGACCCTTCATCTCGGGATGGGGCCCGGCCTCGGGAGGCTTCTCCACAGAGGCGGCAAGGTGGACCACCAGGGCCTGGCTGCCAGAAGCCAGCACTCATGGTGAGGATGAGGATGAAAAGGGCTGACTCAGGCACAGGCCAGGAGTACAGAGACACCTGGCTGACAGCCCCATGGTGAATAAGCTGATGCAACAGCTGCCGAAGAGACTGCTGAGCAGCCACATCAGAGAACAGCAGGTGGCGGAACTTGAGGGTGTGCAGGGAACTGGCCAGGGTCTCCAGAACCCTGCGGTTGGGCTCAGCCACCAGCTCAGTCGCACCCTGCAGCATATTGCAGATGGTCAGCTGCCGGACGTGGCGGGAGCTATGCAGAAGAGGTGAGAAGCGCTGGTCACAGAGACGCCTGTCAGAAGATACATCAATGGTCCCACGTAGAACATGGGAAAAAAAGGCCTCCATAAACTTGGCTCGCCAACAGGTCACACTCTGAAAGCAGAGAACATGCCAGACAGCTGTGATACTAAGGGCTACCCACTGAACCATCATTTCCCCAAGTTCCTCTGTTCCAATAGCTATTTGATGAGTCAGGCAACATTCTAAATAATTTATACAAATTAATCTTCACATCTTTGAGGCTTATATTACTGTTATCCCCATTTTACAGGTAGGAAAAATAAGGCACAAAAGTTGTTACTGCCTGTGGTTACACAGGTAAATAGTAGAATCAAGATCTGAACCCAGGAAATTTGGTTCCAGAGATTATTTTGTTATAGTGACTGCCATTCAAGTGAAACATTCACTCCTGTAGTTTCTTCCATGTTTGTTTCTAGAACCTGACCCCAACTTTCCACTCTTACCACTACCACCTTTGTTCAGACCCTTACCCCCTCACACCTGACCATTAGCTTCCTGATTACTCCCCCATCTCTTTCTCCTTCCCAAACTTTTATACACAAGTCCACTGGATTCGTCTTTGTAAAATATGCCTGACTACATTCTGCCTTAAAACCCTCAGAATCTTTCCATTGCTCAGAGTTAATCTGAAGTTCCTTAGCCTGGGAGGGAAAGCCCTGTACAATGTGGCCTCTAAGATTTATCTCCCACATCTTGCTCATGTGAATGTTTTGCTCTGGACAAATTGATCACCTTATTGACCGAGACCTGCCTTCTACGTGCTTTTCCTACATCTGCCAGAAATGCTCTTCATTGCCAGACCAAATAGGCTTCCTGAGAAGACCTACTAACATTTCACTTTTTTTTTTAATAATTTTTTACATGTTTATTTTTGAGAGAGAGGGAGGGAGACACAGAATCCGAAGCAGGCTCCAGGCTCTGAGTGGTCAGCAGAGCCCAATGGAGGGCTTGAACCCACAGACTGTGAGATCATGACCTAAGCCAAAGTCTGATGCTTAACTGACTGAGCCACTCAGGTGCCCCAACATTTTACTCTTCTTGAAGTTATTCATCTCAGTGTCTCTGTGTGCCCCCTTTTACCCCTCCCCTGCCTCTCTTGTGGGACTCTTCTGATAATCTGACTACTCAGGTGTTAGACATTGGTAACCTTGTCTCATGGTGTTGTCTCTGCACATGTTTTATCCCAACCAGATGAAAAATTCCTGGAGATCAAGGTCCAAATTCCTAGATTTGGTTTCTCCAAGGCAATAGTTACTGGCTTTGATGCACATGAGATTTTATCAGACTATTCTGGTACATTTAGAAGATCTCTGAATGCAGGTGTTTCTTAACCTTTGGTGCACATCAAGATTTACTGTGGAGCTTTTGTTTCTCCAAAATTCATGTCAGCTACCCAGACTTGGTGATCCTCTTATGTTATATCTGCAGTAAGGCCCATAAAAAAATTTTTTTTAATATTTATTTTTGAGAGAGAGGGAGGGAGGGAGAAAGACAATCTAAAGGAGGCACCAGGCTCTGAGCTGTCAGTACAGAGCCTGATGCAGGGTTCGAACTTACAAACCACGAGATGGTGACCTGAGCCGAAGTCAGACGCTTAACTGACTGAGCCACCAAGGCCTGTGCATCTTTATTTTTTAAACTTCCCCCAGATGATTCTGATATATATCAGAGGTCAGCATTTACTGCTACCTACCCTCCTCACCCCCAAAAGGGCACACAGCCTTCCTTAAGTTCCCATTCTCTCCTAAGGTGCAGTAGAAAGTCTGCTGACTTTGATACAAGTGTTATCTCTGCCACTATACTCTGGACCTCTTGAATCTCTTCATCTGTAAAAGGTGGATAATATCACTTGTTTCACAGGTTTGTTGTGAAGATCAAATGAGACCATGCAAGTCAAAGCACTTTGTAAACTGTAAAATACAAAATGTTACTTCTGTTACTGCTAATGATAATAGCCCAGATGGGCAATATGAAATGAACTTGATGGAGGCAGAGCCTGTTAAGCAGGGTGCTTATTCAGCCTGAAGCAAAGGCAGTAGGGGCCTGAGGTTCCCCAAGACTAAAAAGGCACTTCTCTTTGGTATTTGCCCTGCCTCTATGCATTCACTCATACCACAGTCACCCTCAACTTATATCTGAGGTTCTTGGCAAGAGTTGGGCCCCTATTCTTAGGCAAAAGTGTCATTCCCTTTGCCCTGGCCATTCCCTATGACACTGCCTGCTGTGGTAATAATTGGGAATGACTTCTTCGTGTTTGAGCTAATTGCATGGCAGCAACAAGGGGGAAGGACCTCTCACCAGCAATAATGTAGGGGCATTATGGGACCAGGAAAAAATACCTGACAACCAAATCTCCACTCAGCCTACAGAAGAAGCAGAGTGGGTATTCCCGAATCCTATCTCTAACACTTTTCCTACACATTTGCTGGCCTATGCTCACAGCCTTGGAAAACACCTGCAGGTAACCTAGCAAGGCTTCAACTTCACAAGTGAGACAGTCAAGGCCTAAAATATGGACAAAAATGTGAACCAAGATATTGTGGCTGTTTCTGACCAGGAGGCACATGTAATATGTAGTTTTGGTAACTAAATATTAGTGTTCCCCTCTCCCCACATTTTATTGGTTGATGAAGACAGTGGGAGAATATTTGAAACTGGAACACCCAGACATGTGGTAACTGCTGCGAGAACAGCATGACATAGTGAATAGGAGCAGGCACTCCAGAGCCAAATTGCCTCAACTTGAATCCTAGGTCTGCCATTCACTAACTATAACCTCAGACAGTAACTTCACCTCTATCTGCCTCAGTTTCATCATCTATAAAGTGAGGAAGGTAACTAAACCTACCTACATCATAGAGTTGTGAGGATTAGATGAGTAAAGTTAGTTATGACAATTATGTCAATTAATTATGAGCAGACAGCAGTTCACTGCGTTTTATTCCATCACCACCTTTTAGAAGAATCTCTGCTAAAATTTCAAAGTTGAGGGGTGTCTGGGTGGCTCAGTTGGTTAAGCATGACTTCAGCTCAGGTCATGATCTCATGGTTCATGGGTTTGAGCCCCGCATCAGGCTCTGTGCTGACAGCTCAAGGCCTGGAGCCTGCTTTGGATTCTGTGTCTCCCTCCCTCTCTCTGCCCCTCCCCTGTTCACTTTCTGTCTCTCAAAAATAAACATTAATTTTTTTAATTTCAAAACTGAAAACAAGCTAAGAGATCTAGTTCAAGCCATTCATTGTGTGAACTTATACACTATCGAATACAAAATAATTTAAACACATTCTTTTGGGGGTGCCTGGGTGGCTCAGTTGGTTAAGTTTACGACACTTGATCACAGCTCAGGTCATTATCTCAAGGTTGTGGGATTGGGATGGAGCCCTGCATTGGGTTTCATGCCGGGTGTGGAACCTGCTTGAGATTCTCTCTCCCTCTGCCCCCGTCCCTCACCGCTTGTGCATGTGTGCACACAGTCTATCAAAAAATAAAATAAATAAAATTGGGGCGCCTGACTGGTTCAGTCGGTTAAGTGTGGGACTTGATTTTGGCTCAGGTCATGATCTCATGGTTCATGAGTTTGAGCCCTGCATCGCGTTCTGCACTGGCGGTGCGGAGCCTGCTTGGGAGTCTCTCTCTCCTTCTCTCTGAGCCTTCCCTGCTCATGTTCTCTCTTTCAAAATAAACTCAATAAATTTAAAAATAAAAGATTGTTTTTTAAAATTTTTTTTTAATGTTTATTCACTTTTGAGAGACAGAGAGTGAGAGTGGGGGAGGGGCAGAGAGAGAGGGAAACACAGGATCAGAAGCAGGCTCCAGGCTCTGAGCTGTCAGCCCAGAGCCTGCCCGATGTGGGGCTCGAACTTACAAGCTATGAGATCATGACCTGAGCTGAAGTTGGATGCCCAACCGACTGAGCCACCCAGGCGCCCCAAAAATAAAAGATTTAAACACATTCTTTTGGAGGCACCTAGGTGGCTCAGTCAAGGTTAAGTGATAAGACTCTTGTTTTCAGCTCAGGTCATGATCTCACAGTTTATGAGTTTGAGCCTCACGCTATCAGTGCAGAGCCTCCTTGGGATTCTCTGTCTCAAAAATAAATAAACATTAAAAACGCAAACACACACATTCTTTCAGGCAAGAGTAGGGGAAATAAGGCACCACCAAAGAGGTAAAATAACATTTGTCTACCAACACAGTCCTTGGCCCATCCACAGGCTGGTGGCTTAGGCACCAGTTGGGGAGGAAGAAGTGTGTGTACAAACTAGAGAAGGCTAAATATTTTCTTGTACTAAACAGAGCCAGCAAATGTTCACAAACTATTGTCCACTATTTTTCTGATAACAGAAATATTATTTGCGGAGAGATAAAATCTGTATACCAACTCTTTGGAATGTATATGTAAATGTGAATAGCTATAATTGTTTTTTTTTTTTAATTTTTTAAACATTTATTATTTTCTTTTTTTTGAGAGAGTGCAAGTGGGGAGGGGCAGAGAGGGAGACACAGAATCTAAATCAGGCTCCAGGCTCCGAGCTGTCAGCACAGAGCCCGATGCGGGACTCGAACCCACAAACCGCGAGATCATTACCTGAGCTGAAGTTGGACACTTAACCGACTGAGCCACCCAGGGGCCCCATATAGCTATAATTGTTTTTATAACATTGAGACAATTTTGAACAATTTCAAATTCTGGGCTTTTTAAACATTATACCACCGGGTCATTACATTTTACCACCATGTATTTAAATGTTTTTAGAACATGACTTTGTTAATATTTTGAAAATTTGGATGTACTACATTCAATAATTCATGCATTATTGAAGAAATTATTTCCAGGTTTTGATATTAAGTTGCTGCGATGAACGTCTTGAAATAAATCTTCATGAGTATCTCAACTTTTATGTACTATAAATTCTAAGAAATAGAATTTCTAGTCTAACAATATTTTAAAGACTCTTGACAATTATCACCAGATTGTCCACCAAGACAGTTATGTAACATTTCTGCTCCCACCAATACCATATTAAAATGCAAGTTTCACCCACCCCTGGAATTATCTTTTAAAACAAACCAAAACAAGACTTCACTAATTTAAGAGTTATAAGTTTATTTTCCCAATTTTTAATATTGAGATTGAATAGTTTTCACTTTATTGGAGATTTTTGTATATTTTGTGACTTGTCCCAATCTTTACGTACTCTACTGGAATAGCTTGTCTTTGTCTTATTCTCTGTATCCTCGTTTTACAAATGTTGTTGCAAACATTCTTTCCTAGTTTATGTACCTTTAAATTGTGTTTATTGTATTGGCATTTATTGTCCATACTTTTTTTTTGGTTCTGCCCATTTAATAATTAACACTCTCCATCCTGAGATTAGATAACCAGTCACCTTTATTCTTGTTTAGTTGTTTTATGCTTTTACTTTTTACAGTTTAATCTTTAGTTCCATATAGAAATTATTTGAGTATATTGTAAAATGAGGCTCTAACTTGATTTTTTCCAAATAGTGAACCAGTAACTAGAGAATCATTTACTCAATAATCCTTCATTTCCCTGTTGCCTTGTCTCCAGAATATCAGATCTCTTAATACACACAAAGTACTGCACAATTTGAAATTCTACTTCTTTATAAGCAATCAGGGACCATGGCTATCTTGTTCACCACTGTATACTTAGAACCTAGTATAGTGCCTGGAATTGAGCAGGCACTTATTAAGTGTTTCTGAATTATGAGGTTAAGGTTACTGTCATGCAAAACTGGGAAACAAAAAGAGGCACCCTTTGGAATGGATATGATCCAAGTCAGGACCTCTGTCTAGGTGACTGTTAGGCCACCAAGCCTGGGGTTTCCTTAATGTTCTGAAATGCTCTGAGACAAGAACAAACATATATTCTTTACCAGGAAGCTTGAGATAATGTTGGGAAAAAAAGCGTATTCTAAGTGAAAGATATTACAATCTCCATCAACTGCTAGTCAACCATACTGCTTGGGAAACACTAGTCCACAGTGACTCTCATGCTTCTTTAAAGGTTTCAGGAAGCTGTTACTGTTTTCAAATCTTGCATCTACTTCTCCTCATGAGGCCTAATTCCTGTATATAGTGCCTGAAGATTTTGTTGGGCCTTAGCATTATCTCACTGAACTTCAAGAGTTGCATCCAGATCTGGAAGTAGAAAAGCTGAAGGATATGGAGCTGAATGTTACTGAACCCAGTGCATCCCCAGAAATTAAATCTCCAATTCCTGATAAGAGCTTGTTTTCTTATCACTTGGCCTCACCCACCAGTTCAAATACTACTTCCCAAGAAACACTTTCATGCTCCCTTCTCCCTCAACCTTCTTGTTACTATCACACCACTTATCCTCCCATGCATAATGTATTTCTTTGCAGACTTCCTGCTAAACATGAAGTTCCTGAAGATTAGGGACTGTGTCTGTACTTCCAATATCTAACATAAGACCTGGCATGTGGGAAGTTTTAGTAATGTTTATTGAACTCAATCTGTTCTGTCACCTAGTTATGGAGCAGCAAAAGAAATTCTGCTTAAAAGAGAGATCCAGTGAGTTATATCTGAACCAACACATAATAGAACTACAGGGCTACAAGAAGCCCTAAAAGTCATCTTGTCCAACCTCTCTTACAATGCTGAATTTCTTCTACAATATCCTTGTGTCAGGTAGTTATCTAGACTCTATTTGAACACTTAGTGATGGGAAGCTTATTACCTCTGGAATTAGCTTGTTTCATCACCAATAAGTTCAGGGTTTAAAAGTTCTACAATCACTTTGGCAAAAATTTATCCTCCTTTAGCTTCTACCCATACAAGTCTATTAATTCCTCTTTTATATGATAATCATTCAAATATTTCAAGACAGTTCATGTTCCCCAAGTCTTCTTTTTTTTAGGAAAAATATCTCCAGTGTTCCAAGTGTGACTCCCATGATGTGGCCTTGACTTCTTTCTCCATACTCCAAGGGTAGCCTGACCACTGCAAAGCCAGGCAGGTCTATCATCCCCTTTGTCCTTTAGCATATGTTATAGTTACATTAATTCACATAGCTCAGGGTATAGTCATTGTATGAATGACTTTAGCACACTGTTGACCAAACCCCCTTAATCATTTATACAAGTTGCTAAGCCAGGCCCCTTCACCTCTTTCCCTGAGGTCATGCAATTGGAATTTTTTAGACTCAAGTGAGGAATTGGTTTATTCTGTTAAATTTTATCTTGTTAGGTTTGACCACTGCTCCAGCCCTGTCAAGACCTCTACGAATCTGGGTTCTGCCTTCCATTATGATCACTACCTTCCTCTGTTTTGTGTTACCTATAAACACGGTGAGCAATCAAACCAGTGACAAATGCCAAATGGAAAGAACCTTGTGACAAGACATCAGAGCCCTCCTCCCAAATTCACTCCAACCCTGTGTCTGTACTTTACCAGTACCCAGCTTGTGTTTGTAAGCTATTCCTGCTTTCATTGTGCAAAGTCAGGCCAGAGTTCTACCTGGTGCTAACTTACTTCCAAACTGGAAGGCCTTGTCTTCATTAGCTCATCCCATAGTCGGCGCCAGATGGCTTGAGTGGAGAGGCCTGTGGGGAGAAATATCACCTTTATTTGGCTGCTCTTTGGCCACCATGAGTGAAGTACATCAGCCTTTGGTGTTGCCTTCTCTGGATTCACAGGAGCAATATGGCAGACTAGTAAAGAGCACTGGCTCTAAAGACAGACTGCCTGGGTTTAAATATCAGCCAACCATACTCTAGCTGTGTGACTTTGGGTGAGTTTACTTCATTTTTCTGTACCTCAGTTACCTTATCTGTAAAACATAGTTAATAATAGTTATTTCATAGAGTTGTTGAAAAGATTAAATGTGTTTCTCCAAGTAAAGTGCCTAGGAGAGTGCTTGGCACATCAGGATTAGTTAGATAAATGCTGGCTATTAAAAGATCTGTCTAGGGGCGCCTGGGTGGCTCAGTCGGTTAAGCGTCAGACTTCAGCTCAGGTCATGATCTCACGGTCTGTGAGTTCGAGCCCTGCGTCGGGCTCTGTGCTGACAGCTCAGAGCCTGGAGCCTGTTTCGGATTCTGTGTCTCCCTCTCTCTCTGACCCTCCCCTGTTCATGCTCTGTCGCTCTCCGTCTCAAAAATAAATAAACGTTAAAAAAAAAATTAAAAAAAAAAAAAGATCTGTCTAATGAGTGGTTTGGGAAACAGCAAGGTAAAATAGAAAAACTAAGATTCAGAAGATCTGACTTAGCTATTAATTGTGGTGTGCCTATGGTTTCACTTTCATTAGTGTAATTGGGATCATTTATTTGCTTTGTGTTTCACTGGACACTGTAAGGAATCTGGTAAGAAAGCAGGTGTGAGGGTACTTTTGAAAAGCGTGAGTTCTACACAGATATCAGGTGTAATATTTACCAGAACATTATGGTGCCTGGCTTATAATCACTGAATGAGAAAGAGAGAAAGACACTCACCTTTCTTGAGGGCAGTTTCCTCAATCCTCTCCAAGTAATATATATTGAGCAGAGGTAAGATGCTTTGAAGTATTGGGCCTGGGAGAGCTACAAAAAGAAAACACAAAATTTATTTTTTTCTCCTAGGGTTCCAAGCATTATTTATCCTACTGGAAAGGAAAACAGAAGGGCAGACTTCTCATTTGGCAAATGGAACCTCCAGAAGCTAACCTAAGTCTAATTCAAACTCTAATCCACTTATCTTCAGCCACTTAGTTAGCACCTGGAATTTCAGGGACATGCACATCTTCAAGGGTGAGATAATAAAGCAAGCTGATATACTCATTTAGGAGCTGGTCCGTTCATTTCTGCCCAAGCATAATGAAACATTCTGCATTTGAAAGGTCCTATTGAGGGGCACCAGGGTGACCTAGTTGGTTAGGTAACTGAGTCTTGATTTCAGCTAGGGTCATGATCTCACAATTTGTGGGTATGAGCCCTGCATCAGGTTCTGTGCTGGCGGCTCGGAGCCTGCTTGGGATTCTCTCTCCCTCTCTCCCTCTCTCTCTCTGTCCCTCCCCTGCTCTCTCTCACAATAAATAAACTCCAAAAAAAAAAAAAAAAAAGATAAAAAGGGGTGCCTGGGTGGCTCAGTCGATTAAGTGTCCGACTCTTGATTTTAGCTCAGGTCATGATCTAGCAGTTTGTGAGGTCGAGCCCCGCATCAGGCTCTGCACTGACAGTGTGGAGCCTGCTTAGGATTCTCTCTCTCTCCACCCTTCCCCTGATCTCGCTTTCTCAAAATAAATAAACTTTAAAAAAAAAAGATAAAAATACAAAACAAATAAAAATTCCTATTGAATATGTGTGATAAAAATGTCCAACATAATCTGGGCCGTACTAACTTTTCCAGCTCCCTGCTTTGTCTCCTATGCTTCATCCATGCTAAATTACTTTTACATTTATTTAACATGTCACACTATTTTCTGTCTCTGTGCCTTTGTCATGCTGCTCTCTACTAGGAATGTCCTTGCCATTTTCATCATATTAACTATTCATCTTCCAAGTATCATGTGCCTTTTATCAAGCCTTTTCTGAATCCCCTTCCCACTCTTCCAGGTTGGTGACTCCCATCCTTTGGGCCCCTACTATATTCTGAACTAGTACTTTCCGGTGAACAATAGAAATAATCCAGCCCTAACTCTAAATTCAACATATCATAAAAACAAAACTTGCTCTTGCTGACGTCTAGAGCCGAAAGGCTTTACAGTATTATGGCTAAACAGTTTAGTCTCTAGAGTTGGACAAAACTGAGTGAAATTCTGATTCTATTACTTAGTTATGAATCCTTGGGCAAATTAACATCTTTAAGACTCAGTTTTCTCAATTTTAAAATGGAAGTAATAATAACTACCTCATAATATTGCTATAAAAATTAAAGAAGATCATACCTGTAATCTTTTTAAGACCATTCCTGGCCATAATAAGCTCACTAAATGTTGTCTATTATTATCCTTATCCTGTCAATACCATCTCTGTCCTGCCAAGAACAGTCTAAGATCTTAGAGTATACCATATCTAAGGAAAATCTTTCAAAACTTCTAGGATCTCCCTTTATCTTTACTTGTGGAATAAGTGAATCTTGATGTCCACAGTCTAGTACAATTCTTTGTACATAGTACTCAGTGTACTTGCTGAATGAAAGTATTAATTCCCTAAGCTATTACACTAATGTAAGTTCTCTATTGCATTCAAGCTCCATATCCTGGCATTCAAGGCATAACATACCTATTCTACTTGTTTCCTCACTGTATCCTTTCCTGCTGCCTCTACTCACTTTACCCTTCTCTCTCCCTACACAAAGCAACGCTAGTCCACTGCCTCCAGGAAGCCTTTCTTGGCTGTTAGCCCACACTGAGACCTTCCTCCAAAGCAGCACTTCTTCCCAGTCCTCTTACTTGGCCCTCCTAAGAGGCCTAACCTGATTCAGCTTTTTCTGTGTGACTATTTACCTAGGCTAGGCCCATAGGAGCTCGTCCTCCTCTGTCCCTCCAATCTGCTCTGTTTAGCCATCCCCTCTCACAGCCATAGGGATTCTCATCCCCTATTATCCACAAACTCCTCTCTTCCTTTCTCCATTCTTCTTAAGCCAGGCTCTTCCTTGCTTCTTTCCAGCCTCTACCTTTACTGCCTCCTCTTCCCAACTTGGGGCCTCTATACCCAGTCCTCTTCCCTCCTAGCCAAGTTTAGCATTCTAGAAGCTCCAGGCTGATAGAGCCGATCCTCTCTCTGCCTTCTTCCAGGCAGACTCTTCAGGACTCTTCTGAGCCCCCTGCCCAGCTCCACTGAGACTTCACCTATTCCCCATGGGTCAGCCTGACCCTTCTCCTCTCATCTGTTGGCACAGGGCCTCCACAACTCCTCCCCCCATCAGCTTGAGGACTCTAACAGTCTTCCCCACTACAGGAAGACACTTGGGCCTCCTCAGGATCGCTGCCCCACTCCCACCTCACCAAGGGCCTTCCCACATCCCTAGGCCTTCTTTAACCACTCTCCACAGCCTTGGGCCTTATTCCTGGAGGCCCAACCGGTCAAACTCCAGGGCCCTTTCTTCACAGCCATCTCCTCAAAGTGCAACTCAAACCCAGAATCCCGGGACCTCAAGCCTTCACTTCTGACCTTACCAGGGCCTTCCTCCTGGCAGAGGCACTACCACCACTCCCGAGGCCTTCTCCAGAACCTCACCCCCCCCACCCCTTCAAGGCCTGGGGGCCTCCT